GGCAAGCTATTCGAGTATAAATGAAAGCATTCAGTAGCAACTATCTTTTGCATGATGTAGTAAATAGTATAGGAAGCGGATAGCTAGGGATTCTTTTTCTCTTATACCCAAGCTTCAGATGTAGTCGAGAAAGCAAGGGCTATTGGAATGAATGAAGGCATAGGTGCGACATTCAAAGCTTTGGTCCATCACAAAGCTACTGAAATAATTGGAGCTCAATGGGTCGCCGAGAAATCAGGTCATCAAACATGGTACGAAAACGCTCGACAGGATCGACCCTCAAGGGGCTTTCCAAGACACGCAAGCAGATTAAAAGCATAGTTGGGAGCATTGAATAGCATACATTTCAGAACTGTATAAAGTAACACAAAAACAGGGAGCGAGACAGGTTCATCAGTGTGAGGCAAGCAAAACATTAAAACAAAGAAACGAACCCGAAGAGGGGTGAAAAACCATCGGTTTTTGCCTGCTTGGTACCTCTCCTCAAACATCTTCTTGATGGCCTTCTTTGCTTCTTCCCGCTGTGAGGGCTCCTTGAATGTTTCGTAAGTAACAATACCCTTCAATCCCTCTAACTCCAAAGCATATCGGGTTGGCATCAAGTGGTTGTAGTTGACAGCCTGTGATTGAAGAAGAATAAAGATGATTAAAGACCGGAACCGAAGAATTTTGAGCATCATTGATGAGCTTGAGGTGTTTGTTCAAGACGTACCCGGATGAAGGGTTTAACTTTCGATCGTTTAGCAAGCTTCTTGGCACCCATACCTCGAGTGACTTTGAGGGGGTATCTCTCGATACCAGCAACAATGCAGTGAGGATAAGGTCGATCTTTTGTTCCCTCGTCAGATTGCTTGATGACTACAACTTTTTTGCCTGCATGTCGACCCGAAAGAACAACGGCAACTTTGCCTCCCTTGTAAACTGAGAAATAAATTCATTGTGAGGGTAGAAGAAGACCAGAGAGACAAGTATGATCAGTTTCAATTAAAGCGTCGAAATTGCAAGGACCACAACGGTTCCGGATGTTTCAATGGAACAGGTTATGCGAGTGGAGGTTTGATGGCTGATTCGGTCATGAGTCGGATGTGGAGAAGGTGTGGTGACGATGGAACGAGGAGATTGACTCACTCTTGACCATTTTCGATGCCGGAAAGTTCGTAGGGTTGGGGTCGGAATCGTGTCTTGCAGCGTATAAACGCGATGATAGGGTAAACCAACAAAGTACAACGATTGCAGCAGGCCGATCCGACCTAGATAGGTTTCATATGATGAGACTTCCACAACTACCATCCACACTCGGTCCCAGCTCGTCACAAGTCCGACCTTACGGGGCGAAACCGACCATCGTTCATCGCGGATATGGCACTTTGAAGTTTATCACCTCAGTCCCTTGAGCCTCGACTCACAGCACTCACACTCAAAAAAGCAGAGCCATGAAAGATTCAGCTCCACAACACTTGGTCAAAACCAATTCACTTCCGTCTGCACTTTCGCCAACGTATTATTCGATTGCGATCAATATCAGCTGCACAGATTGTCTGATGCCTTAGAGCATCTCCTATCGTCTCGGTAAACGGCTTCGGTACGGTAAATTTTACCGTACCGAGGGTCAAAACTCCCAATCGTGTCAAAATCATGCATCGGTACCCACAGAATCTGTAGAAATTCTGTAGAGGTCCAGTAAATTTGCTGGACCTCTACCGATTCTGCAGAGGTCGGTATCTGCAAATCTGCTCGACTTCTACCGAGCCGATCCTACAACTCATCCTCAAATCAGTCCCACTCTATCCCACTACACCTGTATCACCATCAAACACCAATTTCATCTTGTAAATTCTCCGTTTTCTGTGATCAATGGTTTTCAAATGGTCATATAGATAACTTGGCTGTTCTCTAATTGATCTTTTTCTAATTGATCTTTTTCTAATCGATCGTTTTTTGATTGACTTTTTTCAATCGTTTGTTTTCAGCTCGTTTGATTTCAGCTCGATTGTTTTCAGCTCGATTGTTTTCAAGTCAATTGTTATGAAGTCAATCATCTTGTTTTCAAAGTGATTGTTCTGAAATCAATTGTCATCAGATCAATTGTCTTTGCAAACTGATTGTGCTCGGATGGATTGTTGCGTGATAGAACATGAGATTTGCAGTTTTTTTTACCGAACATACGATAGTGGCAATGAGGTGTTTCTGTACAGTATGTACTGTACTTTGTTTGATATAATGCAACGATAGTGGATTTCCACCGTTCTGTATCAAGTGATACCGTACCGGGTCAGTATGTACAGAAAATTTACAGAAAATTTACTCGAACAATAGGAGATGCTCTTAAGTGGCTCAAGACGGTACAGTCTTTGATTTGCCTCTCAAGGAAAGCCTGATGGAGATTTGGATGGACATGGCACGCTTTATAGGCTGCACGAGTTTAAATTTGTTGCTCAAATTTGGTCCGCGACTCGGTTTCCTGCAAAAGACTGGTACCAATTCAGCAGATGTCTAGTTGTAAATCTTTCTGCTCTGAAATACATTTTGACTGACGCTCTTGGAAAGCTCAAGCAGAACTGACATGTGCGGTAGCCCTTTAATTCTGAGTTCACAGAAAGAGATAAGATCACACAAAAATAACAAATACACGCCTTGCAGGTCATTTGATTCTGATTGTCCTTTGTCGCAGAGGCTCACTGATTTCCTTGAGTCTGAGCAGTGATAACAAGAGTTAGCTGATCAAAATCATTGCTGAGTACAACAAGCCTTAGTAGTGTGGAAACATCAATGAGGTGAGCTGGGAAGGCAACACAGGTCTTGCAAACAGACAACTTAATCTGACCGTGCTCCTCACTCTTAGTGAGATTGGCTAGTGAGAGTTCAATGATATGGGTGTTGAGAGGATCTTTGGCTTTCTGTGAAGTATCTGGCTCAGTTATAGTCAAAGAGAATAAGGTCACAATCCCCCTGGTTCTGTTTTGTGCAGATCATGCCTTAGAATTGGTAAAGAGTATAGCCAGAATCACAAATGGCATGACAGCATCTTTCAACATTTTTGGGTAGAAGCTGGTCTTGATTTGTTGATCAAATCAATCAGATTGAGCAAGATGAGTGGATACAGTTGAACAAACTCCTTGGTACAAATTGGATGATTTGCTTAAGATGATTTGAATAATCTGAATGATATGAAGTCAAGAAGACGGATGATGGCTTGAATATGACAGACTGTGACATGTTTAGATGCTTCACTTGATGAGTTGACTGTGAGATGGAATGCTAGTCCAATCAAAGAGCTGAGCTGCACTGCTGTGGGCTGATGATGATGATGTTGGAGCCTCAAGGGTGTTGAAGAGAGATTTTGTCAAGTCCAAAAAGGATTTTATCAAGAAATAAACTCCTCTTTTATGTTTATGTCAAAGTAGTTTTTGACATCCTTTCATGACTGGGATGGAGTTTATATTTTACATGATTGCTCCCAAAAAACATTTTGGAATATACATAATTATAAAACACAACCAAACTTGCCCTTAAGGCTAGATGAGAGAGTTGGGAATGCAGATTGATTGTGTGACTGAAAATGTGGCATATGGAACAGTGACATCATGTCACTGACATGGCACAAGTGGATAGAGATGATTGTTGTGACTTTTGATGTGTAATAGCATACCACAGAGACACTCAGAATTGTGGCAGGGCATCTCAATGGGGCTAGACCAGAACATATGGCAAGTGGTCCCCTTTGTTCCCTCTTAAATTGTTTTCCTTTATTATAATTAGGAGGATTCAGTGATATCTGATGTTACCCAAACTTAACTAAGTCCCATCGTGCCGGGGTTTATACATAGCAAGCGATGACCGAGGGTCCTTAAGTTTGGATGTTACCCAATTCCACAAGACAAGAAATATCAATGAGTTTCTCATCACTTGTCCAAGATGCTTCCCGCTATTCCCTTTTCATTGCCGTTGTACCAAGTGATGAATCTGGTGGCTTCCTTCAGGGAACAGTCTCAAGTCTGTCCTTGTTCTCCATCTTCTAACAAGAGTGAAAAGCCGATGTGGAAATTAATGGTTGTAGCAGGTCTGAACACCATATAAGATACTCATTGCACTCTGGAGCCTTTGTATCATACCAACTCTACTAAGCTAATGGTCTCTTTTGATAATGACAATTCATAGAAGATCATTTGGTTTCAACTTTTGCATGCTGTTCATGTTTCAGGAAAATGAGTTGTCTTTCAAATCATCAAAAAATTCAAGGATAGGCAGAGTTGTTTTTTTTTTTTTTTTTTTTTTTTTTTTTCAAAGTGCTTTTCGGCTTTATTGCATACAACACTATCTAAACTGTTATGTATAAAAAGACTAGTACACCTTAAGGATTCGGCCATCTAATCTAAGAACAGGAATGGGTATTGACATTTTGATAGCGAGCAGATCTTTTTTGGAACCAAGCTTATAGCTTATCACCCTTATTACGTTTTTTTTTTTTTTTAAATCCATCTTTAGGCATTTAGCCCACCCGCAGGAAAGCGATGGACCTCGATCACCACCTTCTGTTTATCAGTCAGAGGATGAAAGAGTCATTAGTCTCTAGAACTTCTTGCGTTTCGCATTAAAGCAAGAAACTGTCCAAGTTGTTGTTCAGAGCTAGTAATCCAAAGAACCTTTGAACCTTTTTTGATAAATGTCTTGCCAACCTATGGATCCAGGGCGGTACTTGGAGGTTGACGAACCCAAGGGGGATTGAACATTATCTATACGTATTGTCTAGTATTTTAGAGTCTACCAGGACTGGGTTGAAGTATGTCTCGATAGCCTATGAACCCAAGACGGTACTTGGAGGCTATCGAACCCTAGGGGGATTGAACATATTTCCAATACGTAGGGGTAGGTGTTGGTAAAGTATCGGTTTTTCTGAAGAGATGTCTCGCCGATCTATGTATCCAAGGCGTCACCTGGAGACCGACGAACCCTTAATGGGATTGAACATCCTTCCATGATTAGAACGTAGGGGGAACCATCGATCGTTCATCTATCCGCGTCTGTGACCACATTCTGTCTTTGGACCGTCCTCTTGGGGTATTTGTCTTGTGAATAAGAACGTAGATGTACAAATCGATTTGTTTGTAGAATGAAACTAGATAAGAAAGGAAAAGCTTTGGGAGAGTCCAGTAATTTGTCAGCTTTGTTCCAATTGACTTTTATTTTTTCTTTACGTAGTTGAGCTCTGAAAAGTTTCCTTGCTCTTTTATATCGACTGCAATAAAGAAGATAATGTTCAGTTGTTTCTTTCAGACCACAATGAGGACATGAGGGGGATTCTGAAAGATTTCGTTTGAATAGGTGAGCGTTCAAAGGGCTGTGCTTAGCCCTCAATTGGATAATCGCCGCAGCTCCCCCTTTTTCCATACTTAATAAACTCTCTGAAATGTCCTTGGCTTTGGTTTTGAAATTGGTCTTACCCGGTTTCAGTATTGTATTCTTGATATTAAATTCATCCTTTGTTCGTTTCTTGATGCTGCCAACGCTTGACGGAATGGAGACTGCTTCCATGACATTCGTAGCTGCTTTTTTTGCCAGTTCATCCACTTTTTCATTGAGCTCAATACCTACATGACCTGGTGTCCAGTAGAAGCGAATGTTGGTGTCAGTTGGTAAACGTTTCAAGCTACACCTAATCTTGATGACCAGATGTTGTCCAGACGTTTGTCTAGGTGCGTTATGAATCAGTCTTAGGACCCCTTGATTGTCGCTGAAAATCGCCAGGTCAGTAAACGGTGGGTGGTGACGTCTGAAAATTTCGTTAGCTAGCTCCGTTGCCTGTAAAAGTCCAAATAGTTCAGCCTTGTGGTTTGAGAAGTTACTCTCAAATTTCATGGTTAGTGTTTTGTTAGCTGTTTTAGTTACTGCAGCTGCTCCACCTCCTTCTTTGCTGACCGATCCATCAGTAAAAATGATCAGTGAGTTCCTTGACTCTTCTTCTTCAACTTGCTTCGGTATAAGTTCACTAGCTTCCTTCTTTGATTTATCGAGATTGTTGAGTTGGCCTATGTTTGGTATCCACGGTACTAGAGAGTGTGCGTAGATTGTCTCAATCTTCTCTTTCGCTAGATTGTGGAAAGCTGTGAAGCTAAGGATGTCCTGAATTGGTCCTTTATGCTTATTTGATCTGAGACGAAGCTCGTGTTTGATGAAGAGTTGGGTCGGGTGCCCCTCCGGCGCA